AAGGTCAATTAATGCAGGTGCCTTTTGATGTGTTTAATATTTGACATGGATTGGAAAGGATGCTAACAGAACAAAGAACAGGCTGGGGGGATGTGGGGAAAATTCTTAGGCTTGTTTACAATTGTGGTAGGAAAAGTATAGCAGGTATTAGATCTGTCTGCTATTTTGAATAGGATGTATCAGTTCAAGCCTGTCTCGTGTCTTTAACAGAGCAAGCTTAACTGTGGTTGGTTTTGAATGTTAATTTTTTTTCCTGTAGGTTTTTGTGTCTTTGGTTTGTTTATTTTTAAGCTTCTTGTCAAATCTCCAGTGCCCAAGTCTTGAACAGGAGTGGTAGTGCTGGAAAGTGATGGAGCCCCTAAAAATCCTAATACTTAGTCCTGTTTAACTTAATAGGATTATACAACTAGGGTCCGAGCCTTGCTGTGTCAGTTCTAAATAAAACATTCCTGAACTCAGGTAGTCCTTTTCTTCAAGGAAGACATCAAAATAATTTACAAATTCTACATCAGCAGCATGTAAAAGAGAAGTAAGTTACCATTTCACTAATGATCACAGAAAGTGTTGTTGCCTGTACCATATTTTGTTGTTATTTTTCTATATTTTGTTATTGATCTTTGAAATAGAAATAAAATATTTTACTTACCCCCAGCATAAAGTGAGTCTTCTTGTTTAAAAAAACTTTTTGAAGAAATGACTCATTTTAAAGCATTCATGAAAGAAGCGAGACACATTCTACACTGCTCTATTCTCTGAATTGAGCAAAATGATCTGCTTTGCAGGTATCTTGGTCAGACATAGGAGGACTAGAAGATGTCAAGCTGAAATTGAAACAGGCAGTTGAATGGCCACTCAAACATCCTGATTCCTTCATCCGAATGGGGATTCAGCCACCAAAAGGTGTGCTGCTCTACGGACCTCCTGGATGCTCAAAAACAATGATAGCAAAAGCTCTGGCTCATGAAAGTGGTCTCAACTTCTTGGCAGTGAAGGTAGGCCATTTCTTCTTGCATTTTCTTATTCCCAGGGTAGCAACTGACTGAGGACAGTTTACCGATTGCCGGTGCTAGAATCCAGTGGCTCTTAGTGTTTCTCATCATTATTTGTACTTCAGCAAACCTCTTGTAAATCTGAAGCAAGGTTTATTTTTTATTATGAAAAGACCAGTGTTTTCTTCGTGCGTGGGTGTGTGTATGCCTTTTTTTTTTTTTATTATTGTTTTCATCAGAGCACAGAAATAACATGTTGAATGGATGGGTAAGCTATTGAGTAGCATCTAAATGCTTTATTTTAAATAAAATAATTTTAAAGACAATTTTATTTTTTAAAGAAAAATCTAAATGATCAGAATTATTTGAAATGTTTCTTAAAATGGAAACAGTAAAATTCTTAATGCACTATAAATGAAATGCAACTGAGATTGGAGAGTGAGTACCTATTTTTACTGTAAGAACTACTTACAGTAAGAACTACTTGCTTGCATGGGAATGTTATTGTCTGCTCTCTTACATTCCTTTTCATTCCTCAGGAAAGTCGCTTTCTTTATCTTAGTATTGATGTTTCATTACAGGATTTTCTTGCCCCATGAGCCTGTTTTCAGAGAAAATTATTCTATTTCATCAGTTCCTGGAAAGGTTGCAAAATAGCTTATACCTGGCGTACTCTTGGATAAGTGGGATGTTCTCTTAGCATTAAGAAACACTTTAAATATAGAGATATTTTGGAATTCGTTGCCTATGAATCATTGTAATTGATTACCATGGGACATATGGAAAATGCATGAATGGAAGTTTAATAATAATATTGAGCTTCAACACATAGGAACAAAAAAAGAAGATAGAAGAGTGATTCCACATGGGGTAGTCTTGCAGCTGTGTTGGAATGTTAATGAAGTGCAAGAAAAAAACATTTGTTTAAGTATTTTTGTTTTAAAAGTACCTCCTTCTCAACAGTAAGGTCATGTACATAAACTTTTCTGTTGACCATCTCCTTACTTGCAGAGCACTCTGTGGTGTTAGTTTCTACGCAGCTTCTTTCTCTGCCTGTCCTTTCAGTGACACTATCGGTGTAGCTCTGGACCCTGTCCTCTCAGGAGGCTGAGGCCCTTGCACTGACCCTTAAGCCAGCAGCCCTTCATTGCCTGTGCTTCCTGGCATTAAAGCCATGCCTCTGGGTCACAATCATGTCAACAAGAAGAGCCTTGGAAACCGCTGCCCTTAAGAAACACTAGCCTTGCTGCCTCTTCCTTACAAAGTAGTTCTTTGTACTCCAGAGTTACTGGTAAACAAGGTAACCTTTTCCTCCTGCTGCTCAAGAAAACATTC